TTCTCCCCAAATGGAAACAGTTAAAGATAGCAGATTCTCAATAGCCAAGTCTTTCATTTTTATTTTACGTGCTTTCCAATTTCAAAATTAGGAGATGAAACAGCAACAAAGGGCCAGCCTAGCAAGAGATGGGTTCCTCTCACTCGGATATCAACCTTGAGGACGAGACACTTGCAGAGAGTCCCCAGAGGTCATCAACAAAGGCAGATCCTGTGTATCCGTTGGATGCCGCATTGTTTCCGGTTTGGAATAGAATCTCTTCTGTGTCCCCTCTTACATACAGCTCACACCAGCTACTCGGTCCAAAGTTTACTTCCAGTTCCAGCCTCAACAGACAGGTGCCAAGCCCATAAAGTTTATTGCAGTCAATACATCCCCATTCCAGAAGCAACTGGTCACAGCCGTTTCCAACACAAAGCTCCCGGGTCACCCTTTCTTTTCTTTATAGTCTGTTTCCAGACCTTCAGTGACCCATAAAGTTAACTACTAACCAAGTCATTGCCACGAGCAGAATTGTTGTTCTTGAGTCTGGTCCTAAAGTCGCTTTTCCCTAGAACTTGTGTTTGGAGACAACGAATCTCACGCACTGCGCGTGCGGCTCAATCCTTCCGGACTAACCCTAGGCCCTTTACCCAGGCTGTTTCCTTTAAAAATTCTCCAAACTGTGGAGTGTTCTTGGATTTTTTAGTTTGCCCTCATGAACGTGCCTCCCCCCCACACACCCCCGCCCCCCAGAAGTGGAGGTGGAGGCCCTGCTCACTGAGTGGAAGTCAAGGCCTGCTGTGAACTCAAACCACCTGTGCAAACACAACAACGGCTCCCCTCCCGTTTATAGTGTGATGCTCTGGTGTGTCGTTTACAACCCAATTTGTCTCTTTGCTCACTCCCCCTTATTCCAAACAGGGTGGGTATACAGACAGGGTAATCAAGGGACTCAGCCTAGAGGCAGGGCAGAAAAAGAAACTCGTTAGGGTCTTAGGTCGTGGTGCATGCCCAGGATTTCTAAGTTACTCAGCCTCCTTATTTTTCTAGCTACGAACACGTTAATGATCAAAGTTATGAGATCAGTTAAAGGCATCCCCATCACGGCCTTTCTCATGACAGACAGCATGTAATGTTCCACCAGAATCTAATTCTATTCTCAGGCACAGCCGTGGGCAGGGCAGCAGGAAAACCTGTTTTGGCTTTCATAGAGCTGGTGAGATTGTCTCCTGTGACATAGTAATACACGAAGAAAGAAATCAGGATTCACACTCATCACAGAAACATCCAGAGCTGGAAAATCTTGGCTTCCGGGGTTTTAGAGATGGGAGCTCCCTTAAAGCAGTCCTCCAGCACAGGGAAGTTCAAATTGGGTTCCCGGAGTTCCACACAGCGTCCTCAGGGGCCTTTTAACAGGTAAAAGTGAGTTTTAGGGGACTCAGAGCCCTCGGCCTTCAGGTGATTAAAGCAAACCTGTCTGCTTCATGTGTTGGGGTTTTATGTGACTTTTTTTTTTTTAAGGGTATCGTCTTCTACAGGACAAAAAAACAAAAACAAAAAAACCTCACTAAACTGTAAATCTAGTTCATATTCCTCAATCTGTAGATAAGAAAACTGGGACCTTGGGTCCCAACCGTGTGCAGCTGCCAAGTAACAGGCTCCATCCTACGCTGGAGCTGAGGAAAGCCAAGTTCAGGCTGTCAAAATGTGCTGAAAGTTGGGGATTTCTGTCAAGTGCCAGAGCCAGGGCTGGAGCCAGGCGCGGTTTGTCTCCTTTGGGATTCCTAGCCCAGGACTCTTCAGATCTGATCCCAGTGTTTAAAAGTATTAAACACAGGGACCATCGTGTTGTTCAATGATCAAAGGAACCTCAAGAAGAGCTGAGGACCAGAGGCAGGAGCTGGGGGAAGAGGATGCAGAGAGCCATCAACCAGTGTCAGGGAGGCAGCTTAGCGCTTGCCTAGGGCAGCAGGGTGATCCCTGCTCCCTTTTCTTCAGGAATCTGCTTCACTTTACCAGTCTCTTGTCCTCCAGCATGTATGTGGGACCCACTGCTTAGGACTCAGGACATCTCCACAGACTCAAGCTGATTGCACATCCCAGCCAGGAACTTAGAAGTATCATACTTAAAACAACAGCAACAACGTATTTAATTTGCAGAAATATAATTGTTAGCCAGGAATTAGTGGATCTGCAGGGTCTGTTGTATAAAGTAATTGATATACTTAGGTGTCAAGGTCCACATAAAGGAGGAAAAAAAATTACCCAGAGTCAGATTAGCTTGTCTGACCTCACTCGATCCCCTCTGCAGGTTCCAGGCATCCTCACTTAGTGTGAGGCCCAGGAGAGTCCTCGAGGCTGGCTGCCTTTTTCCTCCATCCTCTGCCCCCCTTCTTGTCCTCTCAGTGTCTAAATTCCCTTCTCCCATAGGCATAAGCTCGACACTCTGCATCCTTACATTAAATCGGGTGTTCTGAGGACTCTCTCTGGCTCAAATGATGCAAAGAGCGAGGTCTGTGGATGGTAAGGCATGGCCAATCTCAAGGAAGCTGTCTTGGTAGATCCCAGCAAACTGCTTTCTGTTCTAGACAGGCAGGTCATTTCCATCACCCTCTGAGGTAATCTGATCCTGAATGACCTGAAAGAGAAAAAGATAAAATCCGGGAGGAGGAAGTTACCCCACAGTTGAATAGTTAATAGTCTGAGCAGGCTATCAAAAGAATAGTACACAGGGGGATGTTAAGGGTGGCTAGATCCTGGATGCTGGGCCATTTTTGTCTCTGTAACCATGTCCTACAATGGTGAAACAGCTCATAGTCACTCAAAATGCCCTAAATTAGAAGAATGGGTTGGGTGCCTGTCTAGGGCCATCCTGGATTTGTTTCAGAGGATGTACTGAGGGGGAGACGCCATTCACAGGAAAGAATGGGCTCAGCCAGGGAAAACCCTGGGAGACTGGACTTGTCAGAGACCATTCTGGTTCCCCGACCCCTGACATTTTCCGGTGTGGTGAGCATGGCGTTAAGGGAGGACTGGTTTATGTCAGCACCGTGGGATTACCATAAAAGTCAATTATTTGTACTTTTGGATGTGGCTTTTCCAATGGAGAGAATTAAAACCAACCAAGTTGCCTTTTTTCCTCTCTGACCCAATTCCCGGCTTCCTCTGCTTTGTTCTCCTCTGGCCAGACCTTAGGCTCTGTGAAGTCTTGACGCCCATTTGTTACAAGAAGCGCAAGGGACTGAAGCACTGACAGACAGCCAGGATCATCCCCGTAAGAGAATCTAGGTGACAGACTCGCTCTTAAGGCTCTGGCAAAGCAACAAGTGGCTGATGCAGGGGGATGACAGTGATGTCCCTGCTGCCTGCCTCTCCCTCGCTCGCTGTCTCCCGGGCAGGCGTGGGGGGGGGGTTGTCTCTGCTGTGCAAGGGGAAGTCCTAGTTTGAAGATGTGGCCCGCCAGCCCCACGGCAAGGTCGGAAGATCAACCACGATCCCCAACCGCACCCCTAGCCAGCGTACTCTGCAGAGTCAGAGCTCTCCACGCCTTTTCCCCGCGCCTCCGAGCGCACGCGCCACCTGATCCGCACCGCCATTGGCTGCTGCCTGTTGCTAACCCACGTGACCGGCGTCGGCACGCTCCGCCCCTGCTCCTGCTAGCCCGGCGCGTTCCTGCGGACGTGCGTTGCTGCCTGGCCCCAGGCTCGAGTCCTGCGCTGGATGCTGCGAGCGGTCGCCCGCGATGCAGCCGCCGGCCACAAGGTGGCAGTGCCGCGCTGCGTGTCCACCCGCCCCTCGCCGCGCCCGCGCAGCCCTTCCCCGCAAAAGTTTTCCAGCCTGCGAGCAGACGCGCCCCGGCCTTGAGCTCTCCCGGGCGAGCCGGGGAAACCCGTCGTGGTCCCGGGTGGCTTTGGGGCGATTTGCAAGGAACGCATTCGTTGTCACGAACTCGGAGAAACAGTTTGGTGTGTGTGTGAGGGGGTGTCACAGATGCAAAGTCTGTTGATGTGTGCACGGGTGTTTGGTTTGGTTTTGGCTTTAGGGATCGTACACGAAGCATCAGTTCTGTAGGAGGCGTACAACACTGACAGCTTATTCTTTGTCTCTCGTCTGGGCTTTGCACGGAGCCCCGCGTCGCTTTCCGTGGGCGAGAGGCACACGCCATCGCTGCCACCACCACGCGAGATATCCCTTCTCCAGGGATCTCGACCGGCCTAGAAAGGGAGGGCCGGGACCCTCCTGTTCTGCAGCTGTCCTCAGGATGCCCTTAATTCCCAGGCGGAGGGATAAGCTTGTCTGACCCCATTTGACCCCGCCGCAGGCGCCAGGCGTCCTCATTTAGTGTGAGGCCTAAGTGAGTCCTCTAGGCTGCCTGCCTCCCCCGCCATCCTCCCCTTCTTTCTTGTCCTGTGGAGGAGGGGGAGAGTCATATGCCCCCTTCTCTCATAGGCACAAACCTGCCCCTAAAGTAAAGTTTTTACTTTAAATCAGGTGTTGCTGGGAAACAGCGAGGTCTGGGGGAGGCGGAAGGCAATGCTAGTAATCGGGGCTGCGTTGCTAACATGTGGAGCAGGAAAGGGAAACACATCTGGGATCCCACCGGGCAGCTGTTGCGGTTCTGTCACCTGGGCAGAGCCTTTGAGCTGCTCCCAGGTCATTTCCTAGTGTCTTCAGTCTGCTTTCACCCGATGTTCCTCTGCATCCGACAGGCCCCCAAAAGGAGCCCTGCCTTGCTGAGTGCTGGAATTTTTTGCTGAGCCCATGACTGCGTCTGCTGTACCTAAACTCTCCTGCCTCCGTTCCCAGGAGAGATATAGACTGTCTCTTGGAGCTTGCTTGGAGGATGTCGCCATGCCTCATTTCCAGACTAAAGACCAAGAAGAGACCAGCAGGAAACAGAACAGATTCTACAGAGGTGAATGCCGGAGAATCACCGGGAGAGATTTACAGGTGTGTCCTGGATTTTGGGAACCATGGATACACAGTCAGCTGCCTGCTTGGGGGGTGTGTGTGTGTGTGCGCGCGCACACACACACACGCTCGCGCTCGCGTGCCCCCGTTAAACAGCCTCTGTTTCCACAAGTTAGCAAAGCAAAACCCAGGAGCAGGTGAGTACCAACCACATACCAGGACCCCTTCGCCAGAGTGAGTGGCTTCCTGGAATAGGCTGGCCAAGCCAAGGGACAAGTAGCTTGAGGATATCCAGCAATGGCAGAGAGAACTGAAAACCTCACAAGATTATCCCCCAAGAGTAAGAACCCGCATGTGGCCACCCCCCCACTCCCAGGGACACCAACACTTAGGTACAGTTGAACCTAACAGACCTACTGTGGTCTGAACGGTGTTCCATTCCCTAATTCATGTTGGAACCCAATATACAATGTGATCAGAGTCAGAGGTGGGGCCACTGGAGAAGTGATTCAGTCATGGTTATGGCACTAATACCCTTACAAAGGATGTGGTTGAAATGGGCTGTTTTGTCCCGCTTCTGCCCCGTGAGGACCCGCCCACACCACATCACCCAGGCAGCAAGGAGTGGCCCTCACCAGACACCAAATCTGCCAGGGCCTAGATCTTCAGATTCCCACCCTCCAGAACAGTGAGTACATTTTTTTTTTTTTTTTAAGTTCCCCACCTAAGGTATTTTGTTACAGAAGCCTCCACAGACTACGACACAGCCTGGATCATGAGCCAGTGGTTGGCAAAGCAGAGGAGAAAGGAAGCCAACCCTCATCCACCATGAGCTCACACACCGAGACAGCCCACAGGTGTGGTGAGAGGTCACTGCCACGGTCAAGTTTGTCTGTTTGTTTGGACTGTAGTTTGTACAGCTAAAACACGGACAACTCACAGATCCTGGGATGGACCAGGAAGGCCATTCGGTGAGATTTTTGTTCAGCTGGGCGTGGTGACCATAAACACAGCATTATGGTTAGTGTCTTACATACATTATCGGCTCGATTACTCCTCATGGCATCCTTGAGGGATCAGCTTTCTTAAGTCCCTCTTGAGAGTTGGGGCAGCTGAACGCTGGAGACTTGAGAATCTCAACTACGTTTTGCAGCTAATAAATGGGAAGTTGGAATTTGAATCCATGTTTCGTATTCCCGAGTCTAATGGTGAAGCAACAGTTTCTTCCATGGTGAGTCCTTATTCCATTCTTGACCAAACCTGGCCCAACTTCAGGCCGGGTCCAGCCCCCCCAGAGCCGTGTAGTTTCTGCGCATGCGCAGACAGATGGCGCCTTGCCTGTTCACTGTGTCTCAGGAGCCGAGTTGCTGCACCACCCTCGATGATGGGGAGCTCTTCTCTGGATCCCCTTCAGAACTGTCTGATGAATCCCTGCACATCAGTTACCTCCTTCAGTGGGGGCAGCTGCGCTTCGGAAGGCAGATAGGATCTTTGGAACCACCTCACCGTAGTTTGAAATCTGGTGCGAACACCAGTGACCAAACTTAGAGGACCCGAAAAAGGAACCATTTTTGGTCAAAAGAAACAGGGAACACTGCAGCCAGATGAGGTTGACTTTCTTCTGTGGCTGAAAATCTGGATCTAGATGTAATTCCAACTGGGAAAGTCCTGCTGGAAGAAAGTACATGTTCAAAAAACAGGTGTATTCCCTATGCCCTTCATGTAAAACTCAGTCCATCCTCACCATGCTTCATGCAACCAGATCAAGAAAGAGACGGTGTCTTCTTCTTCTTTATATTTATATATTTATTCCCTTTTGCACAAAGTGTGTGACTTGGTGCCTTGCACATAAACAATAGAATAATTCAGCTTTCTTCAGAATGCTAGAAAATTCCCTGCCTTGGAGGAACTTGCTATCAAAGCCAAGGTAAGAAGGCAGTTCCAGCCACGGAGTGATAAAAGAAGAGAATAAAATACATTGAGGCATATGAGACCAAAGCATCTCCTAGGGATAATGGGAGATACGGTTAGAAATGTTATATTATGGGAGGATAAGTTCTTCGTCGTCTCTGACAGTGACCTTAGTTTTGTGAATCGTTAACCACGCACCTTCCCACTCCTGCAAATACCCACAAGCCATAGGAAAAATAGGACACACAGCTTAGACCGTGAGTATAGACCTGGGGGTTCCCTGGGTGCACATTCACACCTGTGTCTCTGTAAGTAAGTGTGGTCCCAGTCTCCTGACGGTTCTCCAGGTACCTGGTTCTCACAGCTTCAGATCACTCCCACCTGGAACAAGACCCCCGTCTCTGTGGCATGCTCATCAGGCAGTGACTCCCTGTTCTTTGCTAATCAAATCTACCATTAAGTAGGCCAGCTTATGTACTCAGAGATATCACCAGTGGTCTAAGGCAGGGATTGGCTCCCTGTTGCCTCTTGGAGTTCAAATGTTGGCAGTGTGGGCCAAGTGCAAGTATTGACAAACGATTGGCTGGCATATGCAAAAACTACCAAAGGTAGTCTCCTTCTTGCAGATGCTTACAGCCTAAGACTGCTCACCTACAGAGACTTCCTGTGGGGGCTAGCTAACCCTGCCCCTCTGTTACTGCACACAGTAAACACGTGGAAGTTCCATGTTGCTGGGTAGTTAGTACCACTCCATCCAGGTGCACAGGATCCACCTGACCCCGGCCTTTCTGTGTCTGCCACTTCCGAGGCTTTTCTTTATTCCCTCCTCAACCCCTGTCAGGTCAAGTCCCAGCTGCACAGGACATGGCGACACCATTAGGTCACCAGGCCTGTGCTGGAACTATCCGCTTTCAGAATTCTTGTCGAGTTAACAGTAAGTATCTCTCTGGTTCCAGTAACCCTTTGCAGGTTTTGTAACCGGGAGCCGAATCCAGAATAACTATTTGTTTAAAGCCAACAGCAGTTCCTTTAGAAGCTGCACCCCAGAGGGAGCCGGGCAAGTCTATTGATGATTCTAATGAGAGTTAATCATCAGAGAAACTTTGCACGAGGCAAGTCACTGAAACCCAGTATTTTATGCTCATTCTCTCCTCCTCACAGAGTCGTGGAGATGGCCATGTTATTTTCTTCATTTAAGAGAGGTTTCAGGAAACCAAACAATTGCCCCAAGTTACAGTGACAGAGAGGTCAAATTTGCACCCAGACCCACTGGTTTCTCTGTGTAATAATCCTGGCTGTCCTGGAACTCATTTTTGTAGACCAGGCTGGCCATGAACTTCCCAGAGATCCACCTGCCTCTCCCTCCCAAATGCTGGGATTAAAGGTGTGCGCCACTCTGCCCAACTCAAAGCAAAGATCTTAATGGCTTTTCTACTGTGTCATTTCCGTGGGCGGACTCGAATTATGTCTCAACTCAACTCCAAAGAAAGGGAAGTTGCTTAATCTTCATCAACTGCTGCTGCTCTGTTCTCCCCTGCTTCCTCTTCTTCCTTTGTCTTTCCTTCCCATTTTCCTTGTCTTCCTCTTCTTTCTCCTCCCCTTACTTCTGTGTGGGGAGGCCAGGGTCTCCCCTGTATAGCTCTGATTGACCTGGAACTCACAACCCTCCTACTGAAGCCTCCTGACACCCAGGGTTGTGGATTTGCACCACTGCTCTTGGCTCTTAGTTCTCTTGAATCTCAGTTTTTCCACAACAATATTTCCCTCAAAGAGAGAGTGTGCCCACCATTAAAGGATGCTTGTGGGCATTTCCGAAAGTGACAGCTGCTATTAAGAATGACAGTGATGTTCACGTGTACTTCACTGCTTTTGCATGAAGATCTCTGCACGGGGTCAGTGAATGGTGGTACATGATCCATAGGAGAAATCAAGAAGCAGAAAGACCACAGCAAGGAGTGGGGCCCAATCTAAAGAGCCTGTGATAGAGCAAGGGCCGGGCTGCTCTCTCCGTGTGGCTATCCATTGTGTTTGACCAAGAACGTGGCAGCATTATAATCAAGCTGTGGTCTAAGGACATGGGAAGCATGAGGACCCATTGTCCTGTTTCAGGGTGTCCTGCAGAATTGCAGGGAATGAAACAGAATTTTCTCGAGTTGTTGGTATCATTTACTTGTGTGTAGAACCAAGTCATAGTGCAGAGGTATGTGTTTTCCAAAGCATAGGCCACAAGTGCCTGTGAATATTAGCATGCTGGCATGTCTTCCATTGTCAGGCACTGTGGCCACAAAGAAGGGACAGCTGAGGAGCCTGAGGAAGGCTTCATGGTCACCTGTAAATGTCCATTCCAGCTCTATGATCCTTCTCCTGATTGTGCATGCGAAGCTTTTAATGGGAAAGAAAAATCACCGAGACTACTCTGCCCGATGACCATATGGAAAGGACATGAAAGCAGGGTCCCAAATCTAGACTTCACTGTTGGGATTATTTTTAAGAGAGCAAGAAAAAAGCCCCAAATGGCTTATTATATAACATCCAGATGTTTGGCGTCAACCCCCGCAGATGAGGGGATGCCTTTTTCATGGTTCATCTGGAGGCTTTGGCCTTGCTATAGACACACGAAAGAGCAGCTCTCCACAGAGTGGCCTTGTCCTTCTCTCACTTGTCCTTCCAGAGGCCTGTGGGCATCCAGCTGTACCTTGAGGCTTAGATGCAGCAGATGAGCCTAGGCTTGGGAAACTTCTGAAAAGCTTCTGATGATTGGCACCATTTAGATGAGTGGTTCTCAACCTGTGGGTCGTGACCCCCTGGGAAGGGATTTCAGGTCAGATATCCTGCCTATCCAATACTTAAATTCTGATTCATAACAGTAGCAAAATTACAGTTATGAAGTAGCAACAAAATAATTTTGTGGTGGTGGTGGGGCCACCATACCCGAGGAACTGTATTAAAGGGTCCCAGTTCTAGGAAGGTTGAGAACCACCAAGCCAGTCCCAATGCCAAGTGAAAGAAATATGCCCTTTCCAGTCAGATGTCTGATTCTTCTTTCCAGTCAGATGTCTGTCATTGTGGAAGAAGTAAGGTAACATGCCATTAAACACATTTGTGGGTGTCCCTGCTTTGACAGCTCATATACGACAATTGGAAGGCTGCAGTGAAGACCAGCGTGGTCCCAGGGCAAGGACGACATCTGTGAAGTGTCTTAGGGTTTGGCTGGGACAGGTGCACTTGAACTCCCCGCAGCAGTGGTTGCCTGCACAAGATCACAGCAGCCAACATTCCAGCATGGTGGGGGAGGCACTCGTGAGCTTCCAGCCCTAACTAAGGCACCGTGGACAAAGGATGGCGTGTGGGGGAGGCAGTGCCAGTTTTCTTTAAGGGCGTGGCCTCTGGGAGGCTGACCATGCTTCGTTGGATGGCCCCACATCTGTGATATGTGGGTAGCACACATTGGACTCCGTGGATGGTTTAAACAGTAAAGAGGTCATAAATTTGGGAGGGGTGACTAGAAGTTAGGTGCAGGAGTGAGGGGAATATGATTAAGATACTGTGCATGAAATTCTCAAAGAATTAATAAAATATTATATTCATATATGTTTGTGGGCTTTTAAAAAGCGACAGTTTCTCTCCCAAGTGATAGGCAGATGCCCACATGTCGGCTGGCTTATTTATCTCTGTGTGTTTGTTCTCAGCTGGCAGAGGCTGTAAACATCCTTGCTGTAGAATAAAGAACCTAAGACCTGGTTAGTGGAGACATTTGTTGAGAAAGCATAGAATCTCTACACGCCCCGTTGGGGAAATCCTTTCAGTCCCATCACAGATAAACAAATCTGGTGGGCGAGTACACACCAAGGGCTCTTACTGATAGAGAATTCCACCGGTCTGTGAATTCCACATGCTTCAGAGCCCAGACAGTACTAATTCACTTTTCAAACCGACCTGGAACAAAGCCTGCCAAGGAGAGAAATCTTGGCCCCGACTCCACCTGCCAAAGAGCACTCAACTCCAACCTTTCATAGGAACCGAGAGGGTGTTCAGGGCTCCCGTGGATGTCTCTGGTTGCACTTGTTATTATTTGGTGCTTTTGTTAAGCTTGAAGAGTCCACGAGGCATTGTATAATACTGCAGATCAGAAGCTTCACACTGCTTCCTGCTGCATTACCCATGGCAAGAGTAATGATCCTTAAGCTGCTACAAAACTGCCTTTAAAAAGTCACGTTCCCATCTCAGCACAAAAATCTCTTTTCCTGAGTGTCAGTGCTCGCCCCCGCCCATCCTTCCAGAGTCTTGGAAGCCTCTTCTGTTTTCTATACAGCCTCATTCTAGTGGTTCTGTTACAGGCTCCTAAAGAGAGAATGCCTTTTCTTCTTTGTCAAGGTGACCACCTAGCAAAACTATTATTAATTAACTATTAGTAATTCAATGAAGCTAGGTCCATGAGCTTTGCTTCTGCATAAATTTGTGTGTAAACACGTGTGGGTTCTTGGCAGAGAGATGCAATTAGACCCTGATAGACTAGGAGCTTGTTTCAGTGGGAATTAGGACACTCCTCTGAAGTTTTTGATAGGACCCTCCAAGATGGCGAAACGTCTGTGCTTTTGGAGAAACAGCGCATGTTGCATAGAACCATGCAAATCATGTCTTCCATCTCTGAAAATGGAAGAAAATTCCTAAGGGGTATCCTTAGCTCCTGGGATCTAGACATGCAGCTATTGAAATCACCTTCACAAACCTCTGCCCGGTGTCTACAGTCAGGCCCATATGTATGATGTTCATACAAGGCTTTTAGATGATCCTAGTAAAAGAATCAAACCTTAGAGCCTTGGGCTCTCTACTGCTGCATAACAAGTTAACTCCAAACATAGCGATTTATACAAGCTTTTATCACAGTTTCTGATAGTCGTGATGGTTGTGGCTCAGGGTCTCCCCTGACATGTGGGTCAGGTGTTTTGGGGGTGCATCATCTGACAGCTTGACTTGCACAGAGTGGAAAGCAGCCTTTCCTAAAAGACCCCCCCGGAATACTCACTTAAGAAGAGGCGCTGGCGGCTTAGCGTCTGCAGGGTCAAAGACAAGAGGTGGAATAATTTGTCTTTGCTATCAACATGGCAGGGAGTAGAGAACTCAGCTTGAAGCATTAAACAGAGCAGGGGAGCCAAAGCACAGAGCTGGCACTAATGTGGCCAGACACGTGTGATCAGCCGCACGAATCACGGCAGGCATGAAGCTCTAGGGTAGCCTCATGGAAAGTGTGACAAATGGCGAGGCTGCACAGACTGGGCCATACCTGTGCACATCCAGGTGCGATTCTGATTAGTCAACATCTTCATTATTTCCCAGGCTTGGCAATAACTCTTAGGGCTTCTGTGGGAAGACGTGGAGGCAGCTGCTAGGAACAGTCGAGGGAAAAGGCCTGAGCTCCACTGGTGATATTCCCACAAGTGACGACAGAGCCCCACCAACACCTTCCCTGTGTTTAGTCACACTTAATGATGTCCATCCAAAACTGGCCTGGAAAGTAGAATGGTTCAATCACCACGCAGATTAGATTCCCAAACAATAGACCCATCCCTGCCCATCCAAGCTTGGCGATCTTCTGTCACCTTCTCTAGAGAAACCCAACTCTTCACTGTCCTTCCATAACGAAGGGCTGTCTTGATCACCTGCCCTATCTCTCCTCTCTCCCAGCCTGGCATGTGTTCTACCCCTGTCTGTAAACTCACTCCAAGAGGATCTCTAGGTGTGCCCTGAAGTCTGGCAGACCCTGAGTCTGTTTTAGAGAGCCAACTGGTCCGACCCCTTCATCCTCCTCATCCCAATTCATCTATATTTTGTCTTTTGAGACAGGCTTTCTCTGTGTAGCCCTGGCTGTCCTGGGACTCACTCTGTAGACCAGGCTGGCCTTGAACTCGGAGATCCCCCTGACTCTGCTGAGATTAAAGTCTTGCATCACCACTGTGTGACCCTCTTCATCTAAAGTAGGTGAACTGGGGTGGTGTTTTGGGATCTGGCCTGTCTTCCAAATGCCATGCTCGAAGGCTGGGTCCCCAGCAGATGGCGATATTGGTAAGTGGTGGAACCCAGTCAAAGTTGGAATTTGGGAGGTGGGAGGGAGCCTTGCCCCCTTTCCTGTCTGCCATTTTCTTCCTGGACATTGTGGTAGAAGCAGCTTCCTCCATTGTGAGTTCTTGCCATGATGTACCGCCTCACCATAGACCCAAAGTTACGGGCCAACAACCATGGGCAGAAACCATGATAATGAATCTTGCCTCTGGGTAAGGTGCATATTTCAGGGCCTCTCAGAGGGACTAGCTGACTGACACAGGCTGTCTTTCCATACAGGGGTCCCAGTGTACCCAGGATGGATCAGAGGAAAAGAAACTTCCCTATTCCTGAAGAGTCCCCAATAGTCTCCCACCTTGAAGACCTTCAGTGGGACCACATCTGTGGAATCTATTTTGTCACCTAAAAGGACACCTTAAGTTCCAAGTAACAAAAGAACAGACATTTTTAGGGAGCACACGGCTGTCTGACACCAGCAGAGACCTGTTACTGAGCTAACTGTATGTGGCTGTGACAGAAGCCTGAGAAAAATCCACAGAAAGGGGGAAGGCTTACTCTTGCTCATGATTTCAGCCGTTTGAGCCCATGGTCACTGGGTCCTCTCTCACCCATGGTCCTGTGCCAGTGCAGCGTACCACAGTGGAGAGCCAGGGACTGTTGATCCCATCTTTAGAATTTCAGAGTTGAGGGAACATTAGAGATCTAAATCATGTCTGTAACCCCAGCATTTGGGGAGCTGAGGCAAGAGGATCATTGCAGGGCAAGGCTATCCTGTGCTATATATCCAACCATAATAAGTTGTAGGCTAACCTGGGCTACCGAATGAAACCCTGTTGTTTTTTGTTTGTTTGTTTGTTTGTCTTTTTAAAGTCTATCTTAATTAGGGTTACTATTGCTGTGAAAAAAACACATGGCCTGGGGAGGAGAAGAAAGGATTTATTTCACTTCCAGGTTCACACAACAGTTCATCTCTAAAAGCAGTGAGGACAAGAATTCACACAGGGCAGGAACCTGGAGGCAGGAACTGCTGCAGAGGCCGTGGAGGATGCTGATGACCCGCTCGTTTCCTCTGGCTTGCTCAGCTGGCTTTCTTAGAGCACCCAGGACCACCAGCCCAGAGGTGGCCCCACCCACAAAGGACTGGGCCCTCCCTCATCAATCTTGCCCACAGGCAGGTCTTACGGAGGCATTTTCTTAATGGAGGTTCCCTCCTCTCAGATGACCATTACAATGATTATCTCCATGCCTGGATAGAAATGGCTTCCAGAACACAAAGAAGGGTGGTTGGTGAGGAGGGGGCGGGTTGGCAGACCCCTGCGGTGGTAATAAGTATCAGAGTTCAGTCTCTTCCTCTGTCACAGACTATTCCTGAGACCATCTAATTAAAGCAGAAGCTACACCATGAGCATACACTTGACTTTAGGAGGGTTGGAAGAAGTTAGTCTACCCGAAGGGGAAATGAATAGAACACAGCAGAAATGTTAACATCCAGCATCTGGAGTCAGGTGGCCGAGGTTCAAGTCCAAATGCTACCATTTAAAGGACCTCGGGCAAATTATTTCAGCTCTCACTGTCCCTGTCTGTAAAACAGGGATGATCATAGCACACCTAACGCCCAGGGCGGCCCTGAGAGTTTAATGACTTGGCATTTGCGGTGCTCTGAGCACACACTCACACACACAGCTCCCAGTGAGTGCTATTGTTACGCCTTAGAGAGGTTGGAAGTGGATTTCAGTGAGAGCCCACTTCACGCTGCACAGAGAAAACAAAAATGGCTTCAAAGCAGGAGCTCCGAGGTCAGGCACTCAGACCCGCAGGGCTTCATTTCGGACCACCTGTTTCTTGGAGCATCGGGCTGTGCTTGTGGGCTCCCTCCCAGTGTGCAGCCAACTGAATTGACATATCGAGAAGCACATCTGGAAAGGCCGCTGAATGTCCAAAAACATCTGTCAAACTGAGTCAAAGCAACAGTCTGTGACGGATGGAAAATATTTCCACTAAGTCTTTGATGCGCCTGACTCCAAGAGGTGAAACCTAACCCACCCCCTCCACATTCCACCCCTACTTGTCCACTTTGAGTAGTGGTTGAATTTAGAGTGTGATAGCTTGCTACTCGGGGGAACCCTACTGTATCATCCTTGTTCCTTTTCTCAAATGGAGTTCTCCAGATAAACTCTCTCTCTCTCTCTCTCTCTCTCTCTCTCTCTCTCTCTCTGTGTGTATGTGTGTGTGTGTGTGTGTTCACACTCAGAGATGATGGAGGGTATTACTTGAATCCAAAAAGCATCTCCCTCACCTTCATTCACTGACCCATTTGCCAATCTTCTCTGGAAATATCCTCACAGACACACCAGGAAATAATGCTCTACCAGTCTCCTGGGCATCTCTCAGTCCGGCAAGTGTACACTACAAATACCACACTTAACTCTGAGGAAAAAAACTGCCATGTCCCAAGAACTCTCCGGAAGCCTACAACAGAGC